CCTGGAAGGGGTCCTAATCCAAATAGTATTTTTCTTTCCCTGAGGGATCTAAACATTTCCCTGTCTGATTCCAGCTGTGCTGAGAATATGAATTAAAGCTGTTGATTAAGTTATTTTCAGTGCAGTATACAGAGATACTGTGATTGGCAGATAGGAAATGTTAGCAGAGAGATCAACTGTGATTGTACTGGATATACAATATTAATTAACCAACAGAAATTAATTTTTTTGGTAAATACAAATACTCAGATTTCATTTTGCTTAGTCAGATTCCATCACTTCTCACTTCAGTAAATTGACTTCCTTTTCCCATCAGTGTTTCACCTTAGTAAGTATGTGAAGAGTCTACAATGAACGAACTGGACTATGTCAGTGGCAGATGGCATTTGGAATAGGCAGATTAGAAATGTGGTTTTGGAGCACTGGAATAAATTGATGCTGGGGAGGGGCTGTTGACACTGGACTCATAAGATGATGGCTTGGATACCATGGCCCACTGTTGGGTCCTCAACTTTACAGGTCCTTAGCTCAATTTTTTTCAGTATACTTGAAGTTGATTCGGTTTTAGGAGGTTGATCTACACTAACAAGAGATTGAAGTGAATTAATTAATTTACAATGTGTATTATGACTGCCAAGTGATAGAATATTTGAATCTACTGCTCAGTGCATTTTCTCACTATAGAATATTTATATGGAAAGCAAATAATAATCTGCAGGTTGTTCAGTAAACATGGAGTCAGGTCCTATTCGTTGGCATCTGGTTTCTAGTGTAGAAATATAACTATGTCAAGGAAGACTAAAAGCCTGGAATATGCTAGTTAGGGCACTATTTCACCTCCATAGGCTTAGAGGCAATACTTACTGGTTTCCCTGTTTTAGACTTTATGCAGGCTACCCTTACAGTCTTTTGTTCCTATAGTTTTCTTCAGATATTTTAATAACATTTATTAGCCTGTGGCTTTCTTTTACACTTAATAAGTGTTAGTTAAGATCCCTGGGTGGCTCAAATGGTTTGCCTTCAGCTTTAAACCAAAAGGTTGGCAGTTTGAATCCAGCTAGTGGTGCTGAGGAAGAAAGACTTGGTAATCTGCTTCTGTAAGATTATAGCCATTGAAAACTCTATCAGAGTGCATTTGTACTCTGACTCACATAGGGTCACCATGAATTGAAATTGACTCAGCGGCTGTGGGTTAAAGTCTTAGTTAAGAGTTCCTGGACTTTTCCTCCCTGGTTTTAATGTCTCCTGCTGATATCTAATCTTGTCTGTTATAAATTGTGAATTTAGCATTCAGTGATTTGGAGCTGACTTACTGTTGATTGCTCCCTTGTGATGACCACCAGGGAGGCTACTACTTCCATAGTATTGCACCTAATAGACACAAAAGAACAAACAAACTCCCTGCCATCAAGTTGAAACCAACCCATAGGAACCCCCATTGGGTTTCCAGGACTGTAAATCTTTTATGGAAGTCGATTGTCCCCTCTTCCTGGTAGATTTGAACTGCTGACCTTCTGGGTAGCAGCCAAATGCCTTATCTACTGTACCATCAGAGTACCTTATACTAATACTGAGAAAGTTATCAATCTATTTTAAATTTGAGGAAGAATGAGGTACAAGAAGCTTAAGTATTTTGCCAGTGGTTGCATTCCTAGTAAATGCTTCCTTTTAAAGTCTTATCTGTCTAATCCAAAGGCTTTTTCTTTTTAATAAAGATTATTTTATGTTTTGCATTTAAAAGTAATGTGTGCTCATTATTTAAGGTCTGAAGAAAAATAGAAAGAGAAAAAAAATTCTCCATAGTCCCACTCCAGGACAGACAACCATTGTTAACATTAGCCCAAACTTGTTTGACTTTACACACTGCTTTGAATTTGCTAAGTAAGTTTCTGTCAAACAAGTAAGCTGTCTCTGGATACTGTTGTGTGCCCTCATCGATTTTGACTCATAACAACCCTATAGGACAGAGTAGAACTGCCACATAGGGTTTTTAAGGTTGTATGTAGTCTTTAGGAAGCAGATCGCCACATTTTTCTCCATGGAGTGGTTGGCTGGTGAGTTTGACTCTACTACATTTTGATTAGCAGCCAATCACTTAACCATTGCACCACCTAGATGGCTTTGCTCCAGATATTTTTATTATTTTATTCACAAGCCAAGTGATTATTAATGAAAGCATGTTGAATGTCTACCATATCACCAGCATAACATTAGGTGCATTGGGCCATGATCTCTGAATCTCAGATTTGGAGGTTATTTCTTCTTAGTATCCAGCTTCCCCTTGAACACATGAGGGGCTCATGAGAGACTGCTGTTCATTTTGAGATCATTCTGATTGTTAAGATGTGGTGCCAGCTCCTCAGGAAACCGACAGTCTTGAGGAGAAAGGATTAAATGTGTGAAATTATAGCCATTGATGTAAGATAATATTTAATTAAATGGTGATATAAACTGTCAGTGCTGTGGGAGTTAGGCAAGAAATAAGAAAGACCATCACTCATACAAAAGAGATGAGAGGGAATTAAGCATAACCCTGTGCCTGAGCTTTAAAGGATAATCTCGCTGATTATCACAGCAGCCCTGAAAAGGTAGTAGGTGTCATCTCGCTTAGATCACTGAGATACAACTTGCAATTAGAGAAGCTGGGATTTGGAGTCTCCTCATACACTACCATCTCTCGAAAGTAGGTCCTGTGTTAGATCTTGGGGATTTCTTTTTTTTTTTTAATTTTTTAATTTTTAAAATTGTGATTTGGGTGGAAGTTTACAGAGCAAATTCACTTTCCATACGGCAGTTCACATACAGTTTGTCTCATGACATCGACTACAATTTACCACAGTACAACAACTCCCCTCCCACTTCCTCCCTATAGTTACCTCTTCCCTGTGTACATCCCTGCATGCACTCCTGCCCCCTGAGCTGTCTCCCTGTGCATAAACAGCCCTTCTTTCTCCCATGATTGTTCTCTCCAAGGAGTGTATCTACCTCAGGTACATGTTCAACTCATATGTCTGTCTTTTGTTTGGCTGGAAGCCACAGGTATGGGTTCAGTTCCAGACCTGAAGAGCAGCTAGGGGCCATAGTCTCAGTGATTCCACCAGGCTCTATCAGACCAGCAGACCAGGTCCCCCTCTTCCCCCCACAAATGATTCTGAATTTTGTTCCACATTGTTCTCCCTCTCTATCTAGGTTCTCTTACATAGATCCTTCTCCAAGTGGTTGACGGTGGTAGCCAGGCACCATCTAGTTCTTCTGGTCTCATAGTAATATAGGCTGAGGATCACATGGTGTACCAGTCGTTTAGACTGACTGTTTCCATGAATCTTTGGTTTTCTTCATTTTTCTTTACTCTGGATGAGGAGAGACCCGTCGTTGCATCTAGATGGCTGCTTGTAAGCTTTTAAGATCCCAGTCACTACTCGCCAAAGTAGGAGGTGAAACAATGTTTTGTGTAGTGTGTTATGCCAGTTGAGCTTGATATCCCCTGCAACTATGGTCCCGAGCCCACAGGTTCAACTACTTGCTCTGTCTGGGTAGCTGGTTGTGGCCAAGGAGTGACTATAACCTTGACCCTTGTCAGCTTTACTATACACCTGGGAATTCTTACAGAATTCTTACATGCAAATACACTTGTAGAACCATTGTCTGCCAACCTTATACATGGTCTTGGGTACACTCCCCCATGCACAGACATACCTAATAGTTCAGCCTCCACCCATCTATCCACCTGTATACCCATGTTTGCCTTCACTGACAATGCAGTAGTGTAGTGTATGTGCAGAAGGGTTCATCTTTATTGTCTACTTCTTGGGGATTTCTTAAATAGCTCTTTTTCTTATTAAAAATATACATACTGTAGAATATTTGGAAAATATAAAAGTAACCTGTAATGCTACTACTCAGAGCTAGCTATAGTTTAGTGTTCTTCTCTCCAGTGTTTACATTCATATACATATATGCATCATATATGTAAATATTTATCTTTTATATAAAATCAAGAATGGTTTATATATTATTTTGTTTGTTTTCTTTTTCTAAAATATATTAACCATATTCCTGTCATTAAAATTTTCTAAAGCATATGCTTTTAAGTGCTACAAAGAATTCTTTCATTTTATGTGCAATAATGTGTAATCAGTCACTCTGTCATTTAAAGTTTAAGCTTTCTGTATCTTTTTGTTATGAAATGTTTACCATGTTTTGATGAACGTTCTTATATGAAATTCTTTGCACATATATCCGATGATTTCTTATCATAGTATGTAAATGTATTAAGACTTGATTAAAAACTGCCATCTAGAGAAGTTATGCCATTTAGACTCACACCAGTGACTATGTGAAAATGAAGCCAAACTCACTACCATCAAGTCACTTCCAACTCACAGTGACCTCTGTTGGGTTTCCAAGGCAGTAAATCTTTACAGAAATAGATTGTCCCATCTTCTTTCCATGGAACAACTGATGGGGTTTGAACCCGCAACCTTCTGGTTAGTAGTCAAATGCTTTAGGCATTGAACCACCAGAACTCCTTAGTGACCATATATGAGACTACCTAATACTCTCCCTAGGAGCATGGCACAAATTGTTAAGCACTTGACTGCTAGTCAAAAGCTTGAAGGTTCGAACTTACCTCAGCAGACAGGCTTGACAATTTGTTTCTGAAAGGTCTTAGCTTTGAAAGCCCTGTGGAGCACAGTTCTACTCTGCACACATGAGGTCACCATGAGTTGGAATTGACTCAATAGCAATTAAGAACTGTCTTTTTAATATTGAATAGTATCATTTTTAAAATATCTATACTGATTTTACAGGTGGAAAATTACCTTTTATGGTTTTCATTTTTATTTATTTGATTACCAAATAGTGAATATATGTTGGAATTTTCATCTAAAGTACTGTCAGCCTTGAAATTCTCTGTTCTTTTAAGAGCCATACTGTATAGAGAAGAAAAAGTTAAAAGAGTTTACTTATACTAAATCACTGTGTCTTTCTCTTGTCAGATCTCTGACATCTACATAAGTGGAGAGTCAGGGGACATGTCAGCCAAGGAGAAGCTGCTCTTATGGACCCAGAAGGTGACAGCTGGTTACACAGGAATCAAATGCACCAACTTTTCCTCCTGCTGGAGTGATGGGAAGATGTTCAATGCACTCATTCACCGGTACAGGTAAATACAATGGAATTTCAGTATGCCTGATGGGTTGCTTCTCATCTGTTATTTGTAATTAGTTATAATGCCATGTTTACCTCAACCAAGAATCAAGGCTCTGATTTCATTTATTCATTTGAAAGGAAAAAATATTTAGCTCCTACTATTCTAGGCTCTGGAGACATAGCAGTGAACGAAACAGCAAAAATTCTTGCTGTCATGGAACTTACCATCCAGTGGTGATAATAGGCAGTAACAAATAAGTATATGCTGTCATACAGTGGTCACGCAATGGAGGGAAAGAGAGAGATGGGACTTTGGTACTTTGGACAGGGTGGTCAGAGATGCCTTCTCTGATGAGGATGTTTGTGCAGAGCCACGCAGACCTCTGGGGTCAGAGTGGGAGGAAGTAGCAAATACAAAGGGCGGGAATCAGAGGCTGGCTTAGAGTGCTTGAAGAGCAGCAGGTGATTGGAATATGGTGACTGAATTTTGAATGACAGAAGTCAAAATCACTGAGCTGTTAATGGTCATAAATACAACACCTTAGTTTTTGCTCTGCACTAGTTTATGATACCTTGCCCATGAAATCTAACAAACCCTTTGTTATGTATATTTGGAATTTGGGAGCACTGGGCTCCTGCTGTGTCATTAAAAGTAGAATTAGCTTCTTTCTAAACCTCCTACTTTCTCTCCAACTCATTCAGTGTTATTCACCTGTAGGAACTTTTAGGAGCTTTTTCTTGGTATGAACTCATGTGTGAACTTTTACAGACCTGATCTGGTAGATATGGAGAGGGTACACATCCAAAGTAACCGAGAGAATCTGGAGCAGGCTTTTGAAGTAGCAGAAAGACTGGGGGTCACCCGGTTACTGGATGCAGAAGGTGAGAGAGAGAGTTCAGAGAACTCCAGTGAGTTTTTGGCATACACTCATGATTCCTTTTCCTCCAGGTTCCTTTGCTGTAAGAAATTTCTTGTCTTTTGTGTCTCAGATGTGGATGTGCCATCTCCAGATGAAAAATCTGTTATCACTTATGTGTCTTCGATTTATGATGCCTTCCCTAAAGTCCCTGAGGGTGGAGAAGGGATCAGTGCAACGGTAAAAGAACATTTTTCCTAAAATACTTTCTAACATTGATTTGTTTGGGTTGAAAAGACAGTGTTTCTCAACCATTCATTATATGTTGTTACTGTTGTTGTGTTCCTTTAAGTCAACTCATAGCAAACTTACATGACAGAATAGAACCACCCCAAAGGGTTTCCTAGGCTATTATCTTTATAGGAGCAGATTGCCAGATCTTTTCTCCCCTAGAGGCAGAGGGGCTGGTTGGTTCTGGAGGGGCTGGTTGGTTCTGGAGGGGCTGGTTGGTTTGAAGCTCTGATCTTTCAGTTAGCAGTTGAGAACTTAACCATTGCACCATCAATGGCTCCTACTCATTATATACAATTGTTGTTGTTGTTGTTATGTGCCATTGAGTCAGACCCGACTCATAGCAACCCTTCCTTGGGTTTCCGAGGCAGTATCACTACGGAAGTAGATTGCCCATCTTCCTTCCAAGGAGTGGCTGGTGGGTTTGAACCGCCAGCCTTCAGTCAAGTGCCTTAGGCACTATGCTACCAGAGCTCCTCATTATATATACTTCTATATAGAGCAAACTGAATCCACATTGTCGTTGTCATATCATGGACATTGTACTTGGCCCCTGAAAATTAGTCTGGATACTGCTAATTTTGTAGCATCTAGCGTAGACCATGCAGTACTAAATGCCAGTAAGGAATGCCCTTTCCATGCCTAACTATATTTCAAACTGAGGCAGTGGTTTTTTCACCTGTAATATTAAATTGATTATATATATCATAGACCTTTCTGAATATATTTAGTAGCTCGGTTTGTAGCCTTTCTAAGCATTGGAAAATTGAATTCCATACTAAGAGCCCTTGGGGTACTTTGAAACTGGGACTCTGAGTATTAAACTGAGCAACTATCTAAGCAATTAGAGGAAAGGATTTTATGTGGTTTGGGGTGGCCTGAGCTACTTTCTCCTATACTTTTTTTTGGATATTGCTAATCAGAGAATGTATGGTGTTTACCTCTGGCAATAGGAAGTAGACTCCAGGTGGCAAGAATACCAAAGCCGGATAGACTCCCTTATACCGTGGATCAAACAGCACACAATACTGATGTCAGATAAATCTTTTCCCCAGAACCCTGTTGAATTAAAGGTAAAGTCATGGGCTTAAATTATTTTTATAAATTCATTCTACTGAGTAAATTTCAGAACTTGTTGCAGCTTGCTTTGGGGTGAGATTGTATGAAAAATTGAGCCATATTGCTTGCATGCATTTATTCATTCACCAAATATTAATTTTATAGGCACTTTATAATCAATATATACACTTCAAAGAAACAGAAATTCTTGCCAAGGAAAGAGAAAAAGGAAGAATTGAGGAATTGTATAAATTACTAGAGGTAAGGAAGCATATCCTTTGCTGAGACTTGGGGTTCACTGCTTTGTACTGTTGTTTCTTCTGTTTTTTGGACAGATTCCTCTGTATTCCCATCCCAGCAAGCACTAATACCAGTACTCTCAGCCTAGTCTTTAAAACTTGGGACAAAGGGACAGTATCAGTCATCTGTAATTTTTACAGGAACCATTCATATATTTATTCTGAATTCTTGAAACTTATGAATGGGTTTTCCTGCTTTTCAGAGGGAAGTTAATTCTTTTCTTAGGATAGGAAGAAAAGGGACTTTTCTGATTCCCAGTGATGGGCATCCAACCTTCCCAGAATGTGGATTATTGAGAGGACAGGAGGATTTATGAAAAATGTAGGAATGAAGTGATTTAGCGAAGGTGATCTCTGTTTTTTAGAGGTAATTTTTTTTTTTGCTCTCACCTCAAGGTGAAGTCCTAATGCTAAATATTCCATTGCTTCTCTCTTATTAGACAATGGGAGAAACTGCTGAGTAACTGAATGAAGAAGCTAGAAGTGTCATACAAAGAATAAATAGAAGCTGGGGAGTGAGGGTATGGCTGTTTTTGAACTAAAAGAGTATCTCTGGCATTTTTAGGTGTGGATTGAATTTGGCCGAATTAAACTGCCTCAGGGTTATCACCCTAATGATGTGGAAGAAGAGTGGGGAAAACTCATCATTGAGATGTTGGAGCGAGAGAAGTCACTTCGGCCAGCTGTAGAGAGGTGGGTCCAGAGCCTGAGGGTGAGTTGACATTTACTTACTGGACTGCTTTGAGCCCTGAGCTTAAATGATTTTTATCCTGTTATAGGCTGGAATTGCTGCTACAGATTGCAAACAAAATCCAGAATGGTGCTTTGAACTGTGAAGAAAAACTGACACTAGCTAAGAATACACTGCAGGCTGTGAGTGTCTGACTGTTTTTCTCACTCTTTGTATCATATGCTTTCCTTTTGTCACCCTCTGTTCTAATGGTTGGAGGTAATATTTGAGGAATTCAACCGTGTATGTCCTTACTTCTTGGAATTGCTGTAGACCCTCAAGCTCTAGCAAATGGGAGCCATGGGAGATTTCCCACTTTCATTCTCCCTTTCTGTCTCAGGATGCTGCTCACCTGGAATCAGGACAACCAGTACAATGCGAGTCAGATGTCATCATGTACATTCAGGAATGTGAAGGTCTTATCAGGCAGCTGCAGGTGGATCTCCAGATCCTACGGGATGAGAATTACTACCAGCTAGAAGAGCTGGCTTTTAGGTGAGGAACAAGGAACTCTCAAAAGGAGGTTTGGTTTGTTTCCTACTGAGGCTTGTGGATCAGGAGTCAGGCACTGAGTTGGAGGTCCTTGAAGGTCATTTAGTCTAATAGTGATTTGTTGTAATACTTGTTTTCCGATCATTAAATTTTATTTTATGAAAAAAAAAAAAAAAA